GATGGAATTTTAGTGGTGCCACCAAAACACGCTGAAAACTTCCTTTAATTCTCTGAAATCCTCCAACACGATGCTCCATTCACATTTAAATGACAGCATTCACTAAAATCAATGCTCAACAGCTCATTATTGGCAGAGTGCTCAGACTTTAAACATTTCATTTGTTACCGATACAGCTCTGCCAGAGAAACAATTAAAGCTCCACAATTCAATTTTCCAAACGGATTATTCGGTGAGCAGACAGAAGGACTGTTGAAATTACTTCTGCKGTTTCAAGGCAAAATTAACACAATCGGATTAAAACCCAGAACCCCTCGAGGACTCGGTGCATTCCTGTCAGCAGGACACAATTAGATGGGTTTTTTGTTGGAATATTGAGGATTCTTCTGGCACACCACAAAGCCAAAAAAAAACCCCAAAAAACAGGAATTTCCTCGTTCCTCCAGTAGTTTTGTTCAGGCACGTGGCAATTTGTTGGTTCTTCTTTGCATGAAACAAGTGAAAATCAGAAATAAGAAAATCAGACAGGCACCTGCACAGCAACTCTGGGAGTGGATTTTGTAGCCTGGATCCTCATTATTTTCTCTCCCTGGTGGGATAAATGAATTAGGAAATTAAGCAATTTGCTTTGTGCATGCAAATTCCCAGCTCCAGAGCTCCAGATGACTGTTCTYACCTGACCTGGATTTTAGGACACGGTGACCTTTCCACTTTTAGAAAATAGAACAAGATTAGAAAGGATTGAAAGGTTAATATTAGACCCAAAAATGTACTTATTTCTGTTGTGCTGCTCTTCCAGGCCCCTCTGCAGAGCTGCAGACCAGAACACACCCAAAATTAAACAAATTTTACTCTCCAAAATCCCAGCAGCACCACCAAAGCTCTGCTGGGCACCCAAAATTCCTTTGGAGAAAGGAAAGAGCTGCTGCAGAGCCTCAGCCCCAGGGCGAGTGGTGCCACTGAACCAGGGCTCTGCTCAGCCCCTGCCCACCAAAAAACCCCAAAACCCTGCACTTTCCTCCATCCCAGGAGAGCAGAAACCTCAGAAGCAAACCCTGGAGAGGAGGAGGCAGTGCTACGGAGAAATCAGCTCCATCATCATTTCCCTTTGCAGTTTCGTGATGGATTAAACCCCTCCTGACTCTGATGGGCTCAGTGGGGGCTCTCAGAATGTTGAGAATTTTATTTTGAGCCCAGGGAGGAGCTGAGGGGGCACCCAGGGATGTGCAGGTGAGGCTGAGCTCACCAGCCTTGCTTTCAGCAGCATCAAAACCTGTTTAGGTTCTGCATTGTGTTTTGGGGTTTTTCCTTTGGTTTTGGGGTTTTTTTTTGGGGTTTTTTTGGGTTTTTTTTTTTCAGGATTAATTTCCCTGTCAGGGTCAGCCAGAGCAGCCTCCTGTCCCCGAGTGGCAGCACCAGAATTGTCCCACACCATGGAACTGTTACTTTTTTTACCATCCCAGAGCTCTGCATGGGTGAGCACCAAAACCCCACCAATATCATCAATAAAAATCAGAGGGTGATTAGTGATTATTGAAATCTCTGCCATATTTTTTGTCAGGTGTTTTTATCAATAATTGACTATGTTTTAACAAGAATCATTCAACTACAGCGTGACACAGAGCAGCAGGGACAGGTTCATTTTTTCCAGCAGATCATATTTAATTCTCTCAGGAGCATCATCCTCTCTGCATCATTCACCACGTTTGAATTTCACACATTTACAAGGCTCTTTAAAAAAAAAAACCACAAAAAACCACTCATTTTTATCCACCTGTGCTCTAAGTGAACACATTTTGCCCAGAAAATCCCATTTAATATTCATGAGCTCCCTCTCGGTGAGGTTTGTTGGAAATAAAGGGGACCAAACACAGATTTGCATCAATAATTGACAGAGCCATGAGAATAAAAACACACAAAGCTGGAAATTCCCATACACATTGTGCAGCCCTCACACACGTCAAATTTAAGAAAAAAAATCTAAAAAAACCCCACTATTCATTATTTCTGAAAATGGCCTAATAGAAATTGGAATGAACTATTTCTGGGCCTGACTTATTAGAAATAGCCCCGGGTTTTATGAGCAATCAATTCCAGATTTTGTGGCGTGTGGACAGGAAAGGCAGGATTGAATATTGAGGATTCCCTCAGGATCCCCTCCCAAATGTCTGTCAGAGTGAGGAAAAGCAGAGCAGCCCCATCTCCCAGCAATTTATGCACATCATTCTTAATCTCCAGGGCTTTTCCTGACAATTATTATAAATTAAAAGGTTTCTTATTCTCATCTCTGTGCCCGGGAGAATGACACATGGAAATTCTCAGGTGAATCATTCCAGGGAAGGGACTGGAGGGGAAAATCTTCATTTTTTTTTTTTAATAGCAGTGAATTGAGCAGAGGTTTTCACCCCGTTCTTGCTGTGGAAGTGTTCCTGCTGTCCTCCATGGCTGAGCTGGCTCACACAGGCAAAATCCCAATAAAATGGGAATTGCCAATGCTTTTTGAGTTCCCATGTTCCCTGGAATGGCTGTTACTGTAAATGTGATGAGCAGAAACCACTGGAAAGTATTTCTGATGTGATTTTAAAAGGCTGAGGAGAGGAAAGGCCAGATGCTTCAAAAATAAAGTAATTTTCCACCTGTTTGCTACAAAGAACATTTACTCTGCCTCTGCTTCACTGAATGAAAGCACACAAAACTGATTTAGCACCTTAAGAGTAAAAWAAAAAATTCAATTTTCAGGCCAACCAATACATGTGAAGTTCAGATTTCATTCTTAATGTTATAAAAAGTAATAAAAGTCTGAGGAAACCTCGTGCCTTACCTTGTGGTAGCACCTGAAGTAAGCAGCTCGTTCATCAGAGAACTTCTCCAGCCTCTTGGGCCCTTTGCTGGAAGCTTTTTTGAACACCAGCCAGCACCTCTGGTAAATCTGGAACACAGGAGAGTCAGCTCAGCATCTCCAATGACCTCAATATCCCCAAAATCCCCAGAGAGGTCCAGCCATGGATCAGCTGTTGGATCTCAGAAGTTCAGAGAGAACCAAAGCCAAGCTCTGGGCACTCACATCCCATTCCTTTGGATCCCACCAGCAATTCCAGTGGGACAGGAGATGATCTGAGTGTGGATTTTGGGAATAAGGGTGACAGAAAGGAGCAGGAAATGAATTACTGATGATGAAGAAAGCAGATTATTTAAATGGAAAACCCATTTTGCTCCCAGGGTCTCACTGAAGTGAAATTCTACTCGTTTGGGGCAGATTCTGTGTGTGCAGGGTGGTTTGAACAGCACCTTTCCATCCCCAGCATGGAGCCTCTTCACTTCTGCAGCCTTCACCCCATTACCTGTGCCAGAGAAAACCCAAAAGGACCCTGCTTTGGGCTTGTCTGGCAWTCCCTGGGATCCCCCTCCCCTTATCAGCTCCAAGGAACATTCTGGATCCCGTCCCTGCTGCCACTGACGAGCTCCCAGCAGTGCCAAACCTCAATATCTGTGAATCAATYCTCACACCTTATCTAGCAGCTCGCTAAACGCTGAATTTCCAGCGGGTTTAATAAATTCCCTGCAGGGTGAATGAAGTCGGTGCCTGARAAATCTGTTGGGTTCTTCTGCAGCTCCAACTTCCAGACTGCAAGAGGTGAGCAGAGTTTTATTAATAAAGCTGCTTCACATGGAGATGCAGGCAACTTTTCCTTCTCCCTGCCCCTTCCCCCAGCCTTACATCATCCTTTTTTYCCCCAGTTTTCACGGCTCAGGCTCTCAAATCCCCACGTTAACTYTGATTCCAGCCCCAAATCTCCTGCACCATATGGTTCCAGTCCTGCAGATTGGCTCTCCCCCGCTCTCCCTCTCCTCCCACAGGGTTTCACAGAAACAGAGCTGTGCACAAATCGTCAGGGAACATGGCATTGGCAGCGTTCAGCTCGGATCTTCTCAATGAAGCTGCCACAGCAGCCAGGTTAAGCAAAATCCAGCAGAGAAAACTCCAAAAGCTTGAATTYCTCTCCCATTCCGACCATCAAATGGTTCTGTTGAGGTGCACAAGCCCTGAACTTCATCCAGAGCTGGGGTTAGAGAGAGCCCCAGGCTGGGCTTTAGTCAGARCTGGTGTTAAACAGACCCTGGGGCCTCTCAGGGTGGGAGGGACCTCCTGAGACAGAGCWCTGCAAAAACAGATTTCATGGTGAAAAAAGAAAAATTCCACTTTGCTGCTCTGTTCCCCTCCGTGAGCTTCATTCCAGAGTTGCCTTGAACAGCCAGTTTTTAATAATGACACAGACATGGTTTAGGGGATAAAAAGGGTTTTACCTCACTGTTTGGGATCCCAGGTGCACAACTTGAGGGCAGAAAGCACCCCTGTGTATAGCACGGATACAAATTTTATAGATTTTAAGAATTAGTATATCTATCTAGGATTTCCCAATAAGAAACTTTAAAAATGCAGTGATGTCCCCCTATTCTAATGAATCCTGAGGCCAGAGCCCAGTTTACACAAGATGCTCTGGACAGAAGGCTTCACCCAAGGCTGGAGCTCAGGTTTAAGATAGCACAGGGCACACTGACTCCTTTTTTAGGATGTTTGGTCTCTCTTCACAGCAGAATTCCTAAACTAAGCTGGAATATCAGGCTCCAGGAATGACAAGCATGTGGGCTGAGGGGTACGAGAGGATGCACAGAGGGTAAAAGTGTAAAAAGGAAAAGCAAAACTCATCAGGCATCATTTGCCCATTTCCCTCCCTGTTTTCAGGGGTTACAGAGGAGCTGTCCCAGAGCAGGGCAGGGTGTGCAGCASCCTCTGCTCCCCCAGGATCAGCCCCAGCCTGAGCTGCTGCATTTCCCCAGTCCCACCCTGACACAGCCACTGTCCATTTATTTGAGCTCCTCACCCTCCTCAAACTCAGCAAASCTTCACATCCTCCTCACTTTATCATTTCCAGTAAAGCACGAATCAAAATAAGAAGCAGCCAGTCCAGAAAACTAAGAATTGGGGTTTTTTTCACTGACTTTTTTAACCAATCCAGGAATATTTGAGCGCTGCTCACACCAGCTCATCRTTTCCTAGGAGCACACAGCTGCCTGCAAAGCTGTGACAGCCTCAGCTCCCTCCTGTCACAGGCTGAAGACAAAATTATTAYAAATTCCTACCAGGCTGGCCAGGAGAGCCCTGATTGTGTGCTGGAGGACACCCCTGACACCGCATTCCTTCCCTCTGATGTGATCAGAAAGTTTTGGGCCAGCCAAGGAAAGAAACTCGAGCCCCCCAGATCTCATTTCTGTCCTCAGCAAGGGTCACAAGAAGGGAACAGTCCCCCTGTCCCCCTGTAAAGGCCAGGTCTGACAGTTCCACACATTGGTCAGGGTTCAGGTTATTTTCCTGTCCMGTCACTGATGGGAGAGGCTCCACAGAGATCAATCCTTTGAAAGGTTTTTCCTACAAACAACAAATGGTCCAAACTGCGTGTTTGAAGCATTTCTTTCTGYAGCAGCAGTGATCTGTGTGTGTGGATTCAGCAGTTTTCTAACTTTAATAASCTTCTTTTCTACAAAGGGAAAAGCTTTGTCCTCTCCCAGAATGCAGGTTTGCTTTGATTTCCATATGGAAATTATTTCAGCATCCTAAGCACAAAAAAAAAGCCTTTTCAGGAAGAAAGAGGCCATCAAACAGCACCTCTGCTTCATCCACAGGAATAAAGCTGCAAGGTCCTGCCCAAACACAGCTCCAGGGTGGCTGAGGTCACAGACAGGACCCCTCCTCCCAAAGCAAAGCTGATTTTTCCTGGTTTAAACAGCTCTGAGGGCTGTGGCTGTCCCCTGGCAGCAGTTTTGGAGCTCTGTGTGTCACCACTGGCTCAGGGGGTTTATTTTTCTCCCTACAAGGATGGAAAGAATCGGGAAGGGTGAGATTTCCCCTGAATATATCGGGCTCTGCAGGAGACACGTGACACAGACGTTGCCATGGGAACTATGCTATTAAATAATATTCAATTAAACTTACACGTGCAGAAAGAGTTCAGGTGCAAAACCAATTAGCCTAAATTCCATTTTGGAATTGCAGAGCAGCGCCTTCCAGAACGGTCACGTTCCTTTTGAAGGAAATTTGGATTTGAACAAGCTGCTCCTCTGCACCTTTTTCTTTCCAAGCGTAGCCCCTGCACCTCAGCTACTCACAAAAGTCATTTCTGGAGGTAATTGTGGCTCCAAGCTCTGCTCGCAGTTCCCTTGGAGATGGAATTACCACAGCACTGCAGAGTTAAAGGCAGGAGCTGCACTGAACCCAGAACCAGCCCTGCACGGGGCTGGAGCAGCCTCACCCTTCCTGGTGTTTTCACAGCACGGGAAAGTCGTTTCAAAGTTATTATTTAACAGTTAAAAAGCTTTTTCCCTTCCCATCTGCGGCTGTGGGGTGTCCCACAGCCCTCCCCAGCAAATGCACCGTCTACTGAGAGGGATTTCAAACATTTCCTCACCATCAGCGCCCTCAGAGTGGTCTGGAAAGCCTTAATAAAGAAAAAAATAAATAAATAGATAAATAAATAATAAATTCACAGCATTTACAACTCTTTCAGAGTTAGATGCACCTTACTCCCGTGTCCATTGAGTTCYACGGTTACAGTATGGAAAAAATGCATCGCAGTTGGAGCTTTCTCACCGCCTGTGCTGGAGCAAACACAACATTCATTTGCGTATCCAGTCAGTGATGGAACTGAATCACGACACATTAATTCTGCCAAACTCACTCCGAGTCCTCTCCTGATGACATTATCCCAATCTGTCACACCGTCACGCGGTTCTCACGGAATGAGCTGCGCCTCAAGCGCAGGGTGAGAATCCAGCCCGACGGGAGACTTTCCCAACGCTTTCCTGTTCCCAAAGCAGCCGGGGAGATGCGAGTTCCCAAAACTGCGGAGAAGTCACAGCCCGTGGACACAGCGAGAGAAGGGAKCTGTAACAACCGTGAGCCCGCAAAAGCGTTCGGAGGAGCGCAGACACTGCCCCGCGACAAATCGTGAACTGCCGATCCATCCGTTCGCAATAAACACGAGAAATCAGCTCCTTTCCGGTGCTCGGAGAGGACACACACGCCAATTACAAGGTTTCACCAACACAAAGCCTCCTCCAGGTTCATCCCCCAGAGCCGGGAGCACCGAGGGACACGCACGGGACATGGGGAGCTCTCCTGCCCCAACCCTGACAGCTCCCGCTCCTCGCAGCCCCTGGGCTGGGGGGACACATTGCAGAGCACATTGTAAAGCACATTTCACAGCACATTTCACAGCACATTTCACAGCACTTTGCAGCCCAGGCGCTGTGGAGAGGCTGCTGTGCCACCCCTGCCACATCCAGCACCCACAGTCGAAACCGGGAACGCGCCGTAGCGGCAAAAAGACCTCAAAATAAATTTAAAATTAAGCCAGCAGCTAAAGGCGGCTCCGTGAATTTTCATTTGGCGCAAATGGWGCGATGCTAAAAGCCCTGAAGGCGCCTCAAAGCTTCACCTGTCCCACGCKAGACCTGAAACCCCAACCGGCAGCGGGGACCGCGGCACCTGAGCAGCTCCAGAACCCTCTCAGTGCTCTGCTCAGCCCTGCCCGGGACCCCCGGACCCCCGGACACCGGCACGGCCACCGCCAGCCCTGCTGGGGCTGCCCTGGGCGCAGCTCGAAGCGAAGCATCCCCGGAGGCAGCGCAGCATCCCCGGCTGCCAGCGGGAGGGAGAGGAAAAGAGAAATYTGTGCGTACRCATCTCGAWATCACACGTATTTSGGCGCCTTCATTCCTCTCTCCCCGYCTTTTTGTTCCCWGCGGAGCCACCCACCGGGCTCAGTTTGCAAAAAGAGACAAAGGACTGGCAGGGGAGGAAAAAAAATCAGTAAAAAAGCAAACTGCCCATCGCCGGGGCAGCCGCCGGGCACTCACCCCCAGCCGCCGGCTCCGGATGCGCACGTAGCCCTGCTTGACGATGTCGTTGAAATTGGAGGCCATCCTTGCCCGGGACAGGCTCAGCCCGTCCGCATGGCCGAGCAGCCGCCGGAGCCGCGCCCCGGAGAGA